TTTTAAATTGAAATTAAGGGTTCTTTAGGAAAAGAGAACCTTACGATCTTTAGAATGAGAAAGTACGCCTTTAAAATTCTTGTTCATGCATAATCTATCTTAAGAACAGCAAATTTGGTTTTCAATACAACTGAGAGGGTAGTTATCTAGAAGTTATTTCAAAAATTTAATAACTACTTTGTCTAATCCCTTTAATTTCTTACTATTAGCTACCCATACTTTACCTAATATTCCTACAAAATATTCTTACAAAATGAAATACAGAAAGTAAAACAGAATATTCTTTAAAATTTTCAGAAATTCTTCTCCTTTCCTCATTACCTACATCTTAGCTGCACTCTAACACTTACCCAGTCAAGTGTTTTTTCTCAAGTGAAGGAGAACAATGGAAAATGAATAGAAGAGAACTTCAGGTATAGAAAAGCTAAAAAGAAAAGAAAAGGGAAGGCTAAGAAGACTGTTGGTATGGTGACTAGAAATAAGGAGGGTTTTGCAGGGGAATATGTTTTGTGTAACAACAGTAAAATTAATCGGAACGTTCTCTTGGCTGGGAGGTTAATCATATGACTACCTAGTTGGCTTTGCTGGAATCATGTAAGTTGCACCCTCATGAGAAGGATCAACCAATGTGGAGCTTTACTAGAGTACTTGTTTTCTGTGAAGTCCACCCTTGTTGATGCAGAAGATCTTGGGACCTCACATATTTCCTCAAACAAATTCTGTAAATTGATTTTACATGGATGACAACCCTTTTGTCTCTAGCAAATATAATATTATCTTTTTTTCCTCAAAAGTCTAAGCTAGTTTTGCTTTGTAGTTTGTTTCTTTAGTATTTCCCATCATAACATTTTCGTTAATGACTTCAACTTTTTCATTCTTTTTTGTTTTCCTAAGTGGTTCATACCTTTTCTTTATTCTGATTATATTGGTGTTTATATAAAGGATATACTAGGATAGTCTCAGACAGACTTCGAGTACTACTATTTCAGAACTTAGAATTATTATTGAGATTCCTTATCTAGATTTTTGTTCTCCTTTCAAGTTCTTCCTAGTTTGAGATAAGCTCTCCTTGTCTTCCATCATAAAGTCCAGTGGTAATTTAAGACATTTCTCTGTGTCAACCATCTATGCAGAAACCTAAGGTGTACAAGTATTACACACACTGATGAAGTATCCATAATATCAAATAATCTTTAATTGGTATGTTATGATCCCTACTGATGGGTCAAGTTACAGGTAGATGAACATGAATCAGTAGGTAATCATGAATATTTTGTGTATCTTTCTTCCTTCACCTATGTTTGAATTAAATATAAACTCGTTAAGAGAGAAGCCCATGATCCCTTTGAAAAGAGCACTCAAAATTTTGATAAAATTCCTTCATGCATAATCTGTCAAAAGAGACAGAAATCTATTTTATTACAATTTGGGAGAATAGTTGTTCTCAAAGTTATTAGAATTTATTAACTACCTTGTCTAATCCCCTTATTCCTTAACTATTAACTATCCATACTTAACTACACAACACTACATAATATTCATACAAAATAAAACACTTTGGGGACATATATAAGTAACTATAATTAATTCGTCCAGAACTGCTCTTCCTTCTCTGATACACCTTGGCGAAAGGGGTTCTTTTGCCACTAACATGGTACCCTAAAGCTTAGAGCAATGAACTATCGTTTAGATGGAAAAGCAAAGCAGAATCTCTGGGGTGGGTAAAAATATCCGTGTAAGAGCTAATTAAATAATGATGCACAAAACAAACAAAATCGTTCTCAAAATAATAAGACATTCAGAACGCTAAAAGCCAACTAAACTTACGCCTTCCGTTCCACTGAGCTGGTGGTGCCCGTCCATATCCATCTCGGTATCTTGTACATTACCATTCATCGCATTCCGACCACCGGTGACGCTACTCTCATTCACAGATGCAGTTTCTCCACCGCTTAAGGCCACATCCGTCGCCTCGATCAATTTGTTCTTCTTTTTCTTATTCCTCTTCTTCTTCTTCTTATCGTCATCCATTTCCGCTTGAACTCAGGATCCGAGAGCGAGATCCGCTTCAATTAAATGAACAGCCAGCAATACATCAGATGCGAAACCCCTAATATCCCAGGCACGAAACAAAAAGAAAATAAAAAAAAAACAAACCATAAGATTCCATACAATAGAATTCGAACTTTGCAGATCCTAGGTTTAGGCCTGAATCAGACAAACGACAAGTTCAACACAATGGATTGCAAATGCTGAATTAGATTTGACACCTATGGTTGAGAAATGAGATACGAACGGATCCACAGAATCCAACGAGGTGGATGTCGAATTCCCAGCAGCTTGCAAATGCAAAAGTTGCGATATCTGTAGCTTTTTAAACGTAGCGTTTTGTACCAGCAGAAAGGGGAAAGCGGAAGCGAGGAGCAAAGCTTTGGCGACGGAATAATACGATTCAAAATTGTGTGGGCTCTTATAAAAGAGGTACCAATTACATTTTATTTGTTTAATTCCAAGTTAATATATTTTTGCCAAAAGCTTTTATTTCTTTTATTTATTAAAAGTGTGTGAATATTTACGTTTTTATTGCGTCACGGTTGTATTCGAATGAGCCACGTGTCGTACTCTACCAAAAATTCCTATTCTTTTTTTTTTTACCTATTTCAATTTATTTAATGCAAAATTAATACAAATTCTTATTTTCTTTTTAATATATTTCAATTTATTGAATGTAAAATTGAAACACGGATAATGAATGAACAATTCTTTATTATATACTAATACAGTATTTGTGATTTATATATACTCATAATTACTGCCATAATTAAAATTGAGAATGATTTTTTTTACTAAAAATTGAAAAAAAAAAAAAAGATAAGTAAAAAGATGGATAAACCTAGGGCCTTTTATATATGTATAAATTGTAATGGCGACTCAACAAATGCTTATGATAGGGATTGATACGAAATTTTTTAGATGAATAAATTTTTGTTTGAATACCAACAAAAAATTATAAGGACTAATTTAAACAAAAC